TATCCCTGACTACATGACTAGTTCCTGGCATCAGTTCAGATAAGTCTTTTCATGTATCTATATTCTTCACTGTCAATCATTTCTTAGGGCACAGTAATATTCCATTACTTAATGAAACTTAAAACAAAGGAGTAGGTCCTGCCTTCCATTTTCCTTCACATTCACACATGTAGATGTTGTACAGAAGTCCAGCTAGACTACTGAATAGTTTCCTGCCTCTGTATGTGTGAACAGGGCCTGGCACACAGTCGATAATTAAATGTTAATTAACTGACTAGCATTGCAACTCACAATCCCTACCAGGAAATAGAGGCAAAAAAAAAAATAGACAAAATGACTCACATGTTAAATATTATAATCAACTTTTATCCAGTTTGGTAATTATAAGTTTGTTTAAAATAAAAAAAGATATCCAGAGAAGTACTCTATACCTGTCTTGGGCATGGTTTCCAAAGGTAGCCTTACTTCACTGTTTCCTACCAAACTAGACTATTCTCTGGTCCTCAAACATGCTTTGTGATTTGCCACTTATCTGCCTTTCCTCATGCTGCTTCCTATGCCTGGAAGTCTCTCCTCCCACTGCTTTTCCTATTGAATTCCTACCCTCAAAGCCCAATTTAAATGTCACCTTTTCCAAGAAGGCTTTCTTGATTCCTCAATGGTGTCAAATTCAAATAGAAGCAGATCCCAGTGATCCCCATACTGCCTTAGAAAACCACAAATGAACATTATGTGTGTTGTGTTATATCTTTGTTTACTTTGTTCATCGTTTCTCAATTATATTTTAATCTGGGTCAGGCCACACTCAGAAGTTCTGCATCTTTGCTCCATCCAGCCAAGGAATTTGACACCTCTGCTCAAGTTAATAACTTTCCCCCACACAGCACTTTGTCTGTATACAGACTTCATTCTATTGTTTTACTGCTATCTCTTGCGTATCAGTCATACTCCCTAGTAAGATCCATGGGGGAAGGGACTCTGTCATCTAAACTTAGCACTAAGCTCTGTATAAAAAAAGGGCTCTTGGGGCAGCTAGGTGGCAAAGTGGATAGAGCATTAGCCTTGAAGTCAGGAGAACCTGAGTTCAAATACGTCCTCAGACCAAACACTTGACACTTGGTAGCTGTGTGACCATGGGCAAGTCACTTAACCCCAATTGTCTAAAAGTAAAATAAATAAATAAAAATTGTCTGTTAAAAAAGGGCTCTTAATAAATCCCGAATTGAATTGAATCTTAGTTTTGGCTACAAACAAGACTGAGCTAGTTTCATTTTAGGAGTACGGCTTGTTTTTGTTTAAAATATAGATATTGAATATAGAGAGAAAAGGGACCACTTGCATGTGAATAGGATCATAGAATGAGAGCTAGAAAAGGTCAGAGAATCATGTATGTGGAGATAGAAGGGATGGACCTCAGATGTCCAACTAGTTTTACAGATGAGAAAACTGAGGCTAGAGAAGTAAGTGGTTGCCATATCAAGGCAAATCCTCTTGATCAGTCAAACTCACCACTACCAGCCCCAACACACAGGGAGTTCCACAGGAACCAGATTAAAATGGAATTGGGAAATATTAAACTAACTAAATAAAATATAATAGGACATACACAACGTTAACATACGGTTTTTCGTCCCCTTCCCCTGCAGAGATCCTTAAGTTTACTTTACTGATCCTTGCTTTGTTTGAGTTTGACATTCCAGCTCTAGGTAGTTCCCCAAGTAGCAATTTGTATGTAAAAACACAGCACCGTCCAAAATGGTCGGACTTTTCTCGGACACTCTTTAAAAGTATAAGATGCTATTAGCAGTGTCAGATTTTACATCCTTGGGCTCAAAGGTCACCGCAGACAGTGACTGTAGCAATGAAATTAAAAGATGCTTATTCCTTGGAAGGAAAGCTATGGCAAATCTGGACAGAATACTAAAAAGCAGAGAAATCACCTTGTTGACCAAGGTCCCTATAGTCAAAGCTATGTGAATAGGTTTTTCCAGTGGCAGTGTATGGCTGTGAGAATTGGACTTATGTAGAAGGCTGGGCTCGGCAGAATCAACACTTTCAAACTGTGATGCTGGAGAAGACTTTTGAGAGTCCTTTGGATATCAAAGAGATCAAATCAGCCAATACTTAAAGAAATTAATTCAGGCTATTCTCTGGAAAGTCAAATACTGAAGCTGAAGCTTAAATACTTGGGCCACAGAATGAGAAGACAGGACTCAGTGGAAAAGACCCCGATGTTGGGAATGATGGAAAGTAGAAGGAGAAGGGGATGGCAGAGAATGAGATGGATGGATAGTGTCGTGGAAACAATGAACATGAACTTGGACAGACTTGAGAGATAGTGGAGGATAGAAGGACCTGTGTGCTATGGTCATGAGGTCACTAAAAGTTAGACATGACTGAACAACAAAACTCTTAACAGTGAAGCTGCACCCACTACAATGCATGTATGTTGGGGAGGGTGGGTAGAGAAGGCAGCTCGAACTAAATGAATGGACAGTCAGATCTGAAGTCACAAACAGCTGAGCTTGATTTCTCCATTAGACTGGGAGTTCCTTGAGGGTAGACACTCTATTTTGTTTTTCTTGGTATCGCCAGCAGTTAGCACAGTGCCCAGTACATAGTAGGTGCTTAATAAATGCTGTCTCAGGGCCTTATTACTATGTGACCCTTGTCAAGACATTTAACCAATCTGAGTCTGTTTTCTTTAACAGGAACAATAACAGTGCCTATGTCCCAGGGTTGTTGTCTGAATCAAATGAGACAATCGATTTAAAGTGCTTTGCAAACCTTAATGATTTAAATAAATGCCAAGTACTATTATTATTTATGCACAAGATGGCGACAGTGATGCTAAAATATGGAGAAAAGTCATTTGACCAATAAGAAATTGGAAAGTATGCCAACTCTGGCTGATTCTCACTAGGTAGTTATGATAACTGAAGAAGGTGGTAAATCCAAGAGTCAGAGGTAGTTGGCTGTGACAAGTGCTTTGTGGCACTTTGATGTTCTGGAAATTAACGTACTAGGCAAAATGGTGAAGTCACAATGGGATGATGGAAATATAATACTATTTTACCAATAGGGAAACTGAGTCTCAGTGAAGAAGCGACTTGCTCAGGGTCACACAAGTGGCTGGATCTGAACCAATGTCCTCTTTCTCCAGCCTTAGCACACTTTGCTAGACAATACTCTCCTCTTGTAGTAGCATAAGCTTTCATAGATTATTTTTTTGCTTGTTTTTTTTTTTGAAGGGGGCACCTGTATATACACTAATTTTCATAGATTATCTAAAGATATTTTCTGAAAGCATTATAGGCTTCTGCAGGGCGACCTTCTCCAAAACCTTTTTGCCATCCTTTCTTCCCTCCTCTCCAGGTATAGTGCCTTGGGGCGCAGTGCTTTTCCATACAGTGATGAATGTCTGCTTAATGAGCAAGATGTGTGCACAAAGTATCCAAACAAACAACTTACAGGATAACTTTAGGAACACAGTTCATTTATATTAGGAATTTCCCATATGGGAAAAGAAAATGGAATTCTCCAAATTTCCTTTCTACTGATGGGCAGTCTGTACCTCAAACAATACATGAAAAGAGAATCATTAATGTTAGCTCCTACTTTTTCAAACTTTCCTGCTGCCTCATCCTCTTACGCAAACCTAACAATCTTGTGGTTATACCACAACTCCTAAACCCATTGGGTGGCACTTTAGAAAGCTGAAGAATGCCCATCAGCCTACACCACATTAGTTAATCTCTTCTTTGATCAGCCTTGAAATGCTTGCTAATAATTCCCAAATCTGTTGTTTTTCCATTGTATCACATAATTTTTAAAGTTGGAAGGGATTTCCTATTGCCTTTCACCTAGTAAAGTGAATCAGTGTTGGCCTTTAGAACACAGCTTGAAACTCATGTTTCTCAGGCTCCTGTTTCCAAATTCATTCATTGCCCAGAATTCTCTGAGCTTTAAAAGATATCCATGAAAAGAAAACTAATAACTACATTTTAATATCATAGCAGTATATGGTCACAATAAATAGACTTTAAAGCTAATTTTTGATAGATTTTTAAAGGCCATGGTAGGAAAAATCAGAATCTTAAAGACCCTTCTCAGGGCAGGATAATTCAGAAGGCCTGTGGAAAGAATACCTAAGTTAGCAGGACCCAGGTTCTAGTTCCAACTCTGTAGCTAACAAGTTGCCAACTTCTGACAAGTCATAGCCTCTCCCTGGGACTTGGTTTCCCTCTATGTGGCATGATGAAAGAATACTAGATCTGGAAGATTAATATCTGGGTCTGAATTCTAGTTCTCCCACTTTCTACCTGCATAATCTCAGGGATAGTTACTTAATTTCTCTGGGTTCATCTGTAAAATGAGCTCCCCAATATATTTTCCTCTCTACTAGTCTATCTCTTGCTGCTAACTGGAGATTTTAAAAAGAGTCTGGACATAAGTTATTCCATAAAATGCATTGAAACATGAAAAAAAACTCTTAAATTCTCTCAAAGGATGATCTGATGAATGGAGGGCCAGACTAAATCAGACAGGCCATAGACCACTTATTTCCTATGCTACCTTGGGTTCAGGCAGGGATGGATGAGCTACATATTATCTGTAGGGGGTCTAGAAAACATGTCCCTCGTACCCAGAAACCAGTGACAGGCACATCTTGCCATTCAGATGAATGAAAACAGGTGTGAGCAGCGGGTAGAAAGCAAGGCAAGGGCAGACGGTGAGACCAATGTATGGATGTGGTGCTGCAAGGCCCTGGGCCACCCAGAGCCCTAGCATTCTTCAGGCCCGAGCCTGAGCCCTCGGAGAAGCCCCTTACCTGGAGAAGAGGGAGGGACGAGCCACGTCCGGGGATCCAGGGACCCTAACCTCCCTCCTCCTGGACAAGCACAGGAACGAGGATCGCGCGGGGCTGGGGCTCCGGCCCCCTGGCTCCTAACCAGTTGCATCCCTGCAGAGGAGGGCGGTGGGATGTGACTGGCACTCACCTGCAGCAGCACGGCCAGCAGGAAGCACAGGTACATCTGGTAGATGCCCATCTCCCCCACTACCTGGAACGCTTCCTCCACCTCCATGGTCCGGCTCCCCGCGCGCTCAGCCCGGCCCAGAGCAGGGGCCCGGAGGCAGAGACCCAGGCCGCACCCCAGCCTTCAAGGACGCACAACTTTGCCCGCGCTGCCCCCCAGGCCGCAGCGCCAGTGCCCCCGAGCCCGCGACCCCCAGCGCGGCGCTCGGCTCATTCAGAGGCTGCCGCGGGAGAGGCGGGAAAGGGTCCAGGGGGGCTGGGGAGCACCGCGTCTGCGTGATGCGGGGTGGAGAGCCCGGGACCGAGGGATAGCGTAGACTTGGGCCCCGGCTGCAGACGGCGTTCCGCCTGCTGACCATCATTGGAGGAAAGCGGAGCAAGGAGTGTGCGCAGGGGCGGGGCCAGAGCCAGAGGGAGGACAGGGAGGGAGCTAGGCAGAGAAACCGAGAGTGGCTGGGTGCGAGGGGTGTGGGCGGGCGAGTGCCTCGGGCGAGGGCGTTTCCTGCAGCACTTGGAGAGCGAGGAGAGGACTGGGACACTCCCTTTTGGCTCACGAAGAAAGTAGGATGTTTTGTGCTTTGGGAAGGCTTATCCTGGGCTTAATAGTTTCAAGGCTCTTGGGAGAAGTGGAATGACTTCCTGCTTTCTTCCATCCAACGCTAACAGCAACTCGTCCTTGCTCTGGGTATCTGACCAAGCTTTGTAGGGTCAAATCAGAAGGCAAGTAAGGCAGCAGGGCAGATGAGCAGTGACAATCTGGACTTGGAAGTCCAGCAACAGTCACTAAGCGCTTACTAATGCCAGGCACTGAGCTCAGCGCAGGAGATAAGAAAGACAAAACACACAGTCCCTGACTTCAAGGGGCTCACATCCTAATGAGAAAGACAACATAAAAATACCTACATACAAAATATATACAGTGCAAATGGAAGGAAGGCAATCCGAAAGAGAAGGCACTAGCAGTGAGGGAGACTTTTCCATATTTGTAGGGAATGCAACAATCCAACAAACATTACTTACTGTACTCGGGACACATATGCAGAACGCTACCCTAGGTGGTAGGGAAGCAAAGAAAGCAAAGAACTTAATCTGTCAGAGTCTCAGTTTCCCCCTCTGTAAAAAGGGGGCTGAACTCAATCATCTGTAAGATACCTTTCTGCTCTAAATCCATATGAATCCAACCCTTACTCTTATGGGACTGGACAGTCACCTAGGCTTGACAGCCTCCTACACAAATAAATGTGCTACAAGGTAGAATGAGATGGGGGTAAAGGAGAGATCCAGAAAAATTGCTCTGGGCCAATCTGAGAAGGGAGAGAGATGTGCTTTCAGCCTGGATATAAGGAAGGCTTCATGAAAGAGTGTCACCTGACCTGGGCTTTGAAGGAAGGAAAGGATTTCACCAAGGAAAAGATGAAGATGAGATGTATTCCAAGCATAGTGTACTGCCTTCAGTAATACATGACAGTGAGAGAGGCAGAAAGAAATCAGGCAACAGCTATTTGGCACAGAGATTTCTCCTGGTAGCTGAGTAGCACAGTGATTAGAGTACAGGCCTAGAGTCAGGAGGACCTGAGTTCAAATCGGGGATGCAGACACATCCTAGCTGTGTGACTCTGGGAAGTCACTTAACCCTGTTTGCTTCATTTTCCTTATCTGTAAAACGAGTTGGAGAAGGAAATGGCAAACTATTCCAGTATGGTTGCCAAGAAAACCCTAAACGGGGTCATGGAGGGTCAGACATGACTGAAATGACAACATCAAAAAGATCTCTCCAGCTTACTTTGTGACCACTCTCCAATTTTAAGTACTAATAGTAATAAAAAATACTAATTTACAGAAATATTTTCTAAAGAGACAGATAACTACTGGACCTATCAAATATTAATGATGGCAGTTTACCACTGGATGGAGCCTATGAAACAGCTAAGAAGGAAGAAGCGAAGTAGATGTTCCACATGAACTCAATTAACAATATGTCAACCAAAGAAGCCTCAAATAAATGTCTGAATTCAATGGATTCTGAAATTGGGGCAGGATGGAGTTCAGGATAGTGATAGTGTAGCAAGTCATCACACCTAAAAACTACAGAAAGTTCGTTGTTAAGAAACTTGGACTTATCAATCTGTGCAAATTCGGAAAACAAATGTTTGAAACTGTGCAATATATGGTTAAAAGTTGCTAAACTTTAATACCTACCAAACACCTAGAAAAATGTGATTCAGTAAGCTAGAATTATTCACTAGAAAGTCACTCTTCTTCAGGTAGTCAACAAGCATTTATTAAGTGTTGGGAACTGTGCAAAGAACTGAACTGGGTATAAAAATAGAAAAGCAAGGAATCCCTGCTTTTAAGGGGCTTATATTCTAAAAAGGGAGATGACAAATATAGCAATTTAGGAGTTTTCGGCTGCAAGCCAGATGGAAAGGTCCAGTGGTCCTTAGGGTACAGCAGCAAAGCAGACAGTACTAATGTATCTTCTTTAGTATCATTTCCATTGATAAAACCACATCCATTTTTGAGATTAAACTATTTGACAATACCAAAGACTTTGGTTGTCAAAAATATTCTTTTCTGTATTTTTAGTAACTGTGGCTGCTAATATGGCAGCACCTGTAGACTCAATTGCCAGGTCATATTCTCACAAGCTTCATCCCATCATTCCCTTGGACCAAGCCATTAGCAGTGTTGGAAGCAGGGTAGTGGTCTGGGAGATGCTGCTATTTCTGAGATTCTAAGCAGAGGGTCCTGGGTTTTCTCCACTAAGGTCTGAGGGCAGGTGGTGCTGCTGGTCTGATCCACCTGACACCTACTGCCTCCTGTCTCTCCTTCAGGGTGCCTTGCTGTTTCAACAAGGCTGATTTGTTTGCCTTATCAGTAGTAGTTGGTTGGCAGGTGTTGTGAGTGGTGACAGGGATGGAAGGACTCTTCTCCAATCCTGAGAGCTGTCCTTAATGATGACTGAGTTGGAAGCAGTTGGTGATCTAGGGTTGGGGTGGTGGTGATGCTGCTGTTTCTGGGGCTTTTGGGCATAGGATCTTGGGTGTCCTCCAGCAGTGAGGAAGCATGGTATAGTGTACAGGGGACTTGAAGTCAGGAAGAACTGGGTTAGGATTCTTCCTCAGACAATATATGACCATGGGCAAATAATTGAACCTCCCTGTGCTTTAGTCTCGACTGTAAAATGAGAGGGTTGGATTCCATGGTCTCTATGGACCTTTCCATCTCTATACCTATGGTCCAGTAATCCTTCCCAATTCTGAGCACCATGTGTTAGGAAGGATGTTCATAAACTGGAAGGCATCCAGAAGAAGATGATTAGAAAGGTGAGGAATCCGAAACCACATCATACAAAAACAATAAATACTTATTAAGTACATATTAAGTGTGCATAAAAGGATTGGTTAAAAGAACTAGGGATGTTTATACTGGAGAAGAGGAAACAGTTTTTTCCCTAAGAGAAATGCCTATTTGAAAAGCTAAAAGTGGAAGAGGGATTATGCTTGTTCTGCTTGATCCCAAAGAGAAGAATTGGGAACAATGGCAGAAGTTACAGAGATATATTTTGACTTGATGTTAAGAAAAAAAAAGAAAAACAAAAACTTCCTAACAGAGCTGTTTGAAAGTAGAATGGGCTACTTCTAGAGATAGTGAGTCCACTATCTTTGAACATCTTCAAGTGGAAGAGGGTGGATGAATATTTGTTGGAGATCTTTTTTTCCTTATTAGAATTTTTCCCCAATTACATGTAAAGATAGTTTTCAGCATTCATTTTTGTAAAATTTTGAGTTCCAAGTTTTTTCTCCCTCCCCTTCCCCCCCTCCCTCTCTTTTCCTCTCCCTCCTTCCCTCTCTTTCCCCTCCCCAAGACAACAAGCAATCTGATATAGGTTATACATGTACAATCATGTTAAGCATATTTCCACGTTAGTTATGTTATAAAAGAAAATCACAACAAAAAGGAAAGACCATGAGAAAGAAAATAAAAACAAAAGGCAAGTGAAAATAGCATGCTTTGATCTGCATTCAGATTCCATAGTTCTTTCTCTGGATGTGGTTAGCATTTTCCATCATAAGTCTTTTGGAATTGTTTTGGATCATTCCATTGCTGAGAAGGGCTAAGTCTATCATAGTTGATCATTGCACAGTGTTGCTGTTACTGTGCACGATGTCATCCTGGTTCTGCTCACTTCACCCAGCATCAGTTCATGTAAGTCTTTCCAGGTTTTTCTGAAATCCACCCACTCATCATTTCTTATCACACAATAGTATTTTGTTACATTCATATATTACAACTTGCTCAGCCATTCCCCTAATTGATGAGCATCCCCTCAATTTCCAATTCTTTGCCACCACAAAAGAGCTGCTATAAATATTTTTGTAATTGTGGGTTCTTTTCCCTTTAGGTGACCTTGGAGATGGATTCTTGCTCTAGTGCAGGTTGGGCCAATCAACTTCTGGGGTCCCTTCTACTTCCAATACTCTATAATCTATGACCTTCTAATCATTAGTTAAATGGAAATTTTTTCCATCTTCCTGTTTCTGGATTTTTCTTTAAAATGTCTTACTCTTTACCACCTCCTCCTTCTAGGTCAGAGGTTCTTGACTTTTTTGTGTGTCATGAATTCCTTTGGAAGTGTGGTGAAGGCTATGGACTCCTCAGAATCATATTTGTTACCTAGATTCACAATCGAAGGAAATGCTAAATTTTAGAGTTCGTTGAAAATAAAGATGTGTTTTTTCCCATCCAGGTTCACAGAGCCTCTGAAATCTATCCACAGACACTTTGGGGGTCCATGGACCAATTGTTAGGAACCCTTGTTCTAAATATTGCCCCCTTGAAAGATCCATAGTTTTTCCTTGTTCTCCTCCTACTTGTTTTTAACTTCTGTCTCTTTTACTGGCAGACATCCTCCTCCTTTTGTCCTTTGGAGGTGGGTGTTCATTAAGGTTCTTGCTTGGATTCTTTTCTATTCCACTCTCTACATCCTCTTACTTGATTATCTCAATATATTCCCATGACATAGACTGTCATCTCTATGTAGGCAACTTCTAAACTTCTAAATCTCTGCCATTAACCTTGATTTGTCTCCCTAGCTCTCAACTTGTTTC